ATCAGGCCACCACCGCGGCTTGGGAGTCACGTTTATTGCAAAAGTAAAAAGTGTCACAGTAAAAAAAATACACCTGGAGAAAACCCAGGCCAGGGAGGCGGGTGTGTGACGAGGTCGTGCCCGAGGACGGGTCCGGCGGCTCCTTGGCCCGTGGGTGGGGCACGCGCTGGCTCCTGGGGGAGGCGCGACTTCTCCAGGGAGGCGGGACCCTGCGAGGGCAGGGCCGGCTCAGTCCATGCTGGTCCCTTTAAAAAGCTCCACCAGGTCCTTGAAGTCCGGGTCGATGAGGTCGGAGGGCAGGTCGCCATCATCGTTGGCTGCGTCTCTATCTGCCCCCAGGGAGATGAGGTACCTAGGGTGCAGAAGGCGCCCTGGCTGCAGTGGGGAAGCGCCTGAAGGGCGCTTACCCCCAGCAGGGGCAGAGGGCCAGAGTCTTGGGGTCACCTGTTTGTCCCCCACCTCGGGGCCCTGAGGTCTGGGTAGGGTAAGGAGGAAGAAACTTGACCCTTAGGAAGCTGTGGCCAGCTTTTCTAGTTCACTCTAGTGAGGGCAACAGGGCGGAAACAGGATTCCTGAAGCCTTTCAGGTTCTTGCTTACACCACCACGGCCTCTTTTGGGGGGCCCATGTCCTAGAGACCAGCGAAGGCCTGGAGCAGACGGGCTAAAGCCTGGCAGCCAGGCCACCCTCTCACCTGGCTATATCAGGGTACCCATCACTGCAGGCAATGTGCAGGGGTGTCCAGCCTGTCTCATCGCGCTGGTGAATGTCAGCCCCGTATTTGACCAGCAGCTTCACGCATTCCAGGTTTCCAGAGAGCACAGCTTCATGCAGGGCGGCCAGGCCTGGGCAGAAAGGGAGGGCAGAGGTCAAGGCCAAGGCAGATGTCTGGTTGTCCTTGTTGGCCCCACAGGCCTTTGGCCAGTCCCTCCAATGCTTGCTCACCTGAGGGGTGGATGGTGGCCAGGGAGACTTTCCGAGCCCGGATGAATCGCCCCACCTGCTCCAGGTCACCCTGGCGGATGTGGTCCAAGAACAGGACATCATTAGGGAAACGCACACTGCGATCGGCTAGCAACCGCCGTCGCCGCTGCTGTGGGCTGTAGCGGGCATAGCGGACAGTTCTGCTGGGCATCTTGGGGGATGTAGGGTGGGCTGCCCCTATGGGGCCCCTACCGCACTGGGATGAGGAATGTGCCCCGTCCAGACCCGAGCAGCGTGAGGGCTCTTCTGCCCACAGAGGCCTCACTTCTGACTTATATAGGGCTCGCCGAGCTATATAAAGCTGCACGGTCATGCTCCCCGTCGCGAGGGGCTGAAACTGAGCTGCTCCCCCCTCCCTGTGACCAGGATCATGTTTAGTGACTCATCTTTCAGCCCACCTGTCACCGTGCCCGGCTGAAGGGGTCAGATCCTTCCTGGTTATTGCTCCCTGCCCCACAGCTGGACCTAGAAGGTGCCTTACAAAGGGCAGGAGAAGGCACCAGGACAGAGCCTATGGCCTATGTGGAAGGCCAGGGATGCTCAATCAAGGAGGCAAAGCAGGTATCAAGACCATCAAGACGGCCCACTCATCTGCAGAAGCACAGGTCCACCATGCCACGGAAGAGGCTCAGGCCCTATCCATCTCCCTTCTTGTCAATTTTCATCTTCCAACACGGTTTGCATCTCTTAACAGTTTTCCCCAAACTACTCTAAGGGCACTGTCTCTTGCTCAGAAACCTCCCAGGCTTCCCTAACTGGTATCTCAGTGCCCAGTCAGTCCTGTGTGTGCCCTCCCCAACGTGCCTCGCTTCCTGGTTCCCTCTCCTGGGGTGGGAGGGTCCCCACACTCATGCTTCCGTACTGCATGGCTTCTCTGGGTTTCAGGTTCCAGATACACATGCTCACACTTAAGGTGGTATCCAGTTTGCTTCCCAAGTTTGGGGCCCCTCCTGTCCCGGGTGGTGTGCTCCTTCTGCCCCCTGTGGACTTGACTCTAAGAACGCAAACCATGGAATTTTAAGACAACCAGTTTCAGCAGGCTCATCATTGACTGCAATAGCTGCAGCCAAGGTCCCAGGTAGTCCTTGGACTGCAGGACGTGAGAAAAGCCAGAGGATGGGATGCAGGCACAGGTGCAGAGAGACTCCCCCAGGAACGTGTCTATGGGGTCAGGGACAGCCACTGACTGTGCTGGGTTCTCCTATAGCACCTGGAGCTGGCTGGATGAGTCTGCCAGGGTCGCCATGACAAAGGACCACAGACAGTGGGGGCTTAAGCAACAGACATTTATTCTCCCACAATTCTGGAGACTGGAAGTCTGAGAACACTCCTCGGCAAGGTTGGTTCCTTACAAGGCTCTGAGGGAGAGTCTATTCCAGGCTTCTCTTCAGCTTCTGGTGGTTGTCAGCAATCGCTGGTGTTCCTTGGCTTATAGCATCAGCATCCTGATCTCTGCCTTCATCTCCACGGTGTTTTCTCTGTGTTTGTCTCTGTCTCCCTGTCCTTTAAAAAAAATTTTTAAGCCGGGCTCGGTGGCTCAGCCTGTAATCCTGCACCTTGGGAGGTTGAGGTGAGTGAATTGCCTGAGCTCGCGGGTTCGAGACCTGCCTGGGTACTTGATGAGACCTCATCTCTACAATAACTCAAAAAAATTAGCTGGGTGTGGTAGCGCATGCCTGTAGTTCCGGCTAATTGGAAGGTTGAGGCGGAAGGATTGCCAGAGCCCAGCAGGTCGAGGCTGCGGGGCCGGGAGCGGCCACTGCACTCCAGTCTGGGCGACAGAGCGAGACTCCAACTCAAAAAA